GATGATGATGATGATGATGATGATGATGATGATGATGATGATGATGATGATGATGATGATGATGACGATGATGATGATGACGATGATGATGATGATGATGATGATGATGATGATGATGATGATGATAAAAAGGACAGACACACCTTCCTGAAGACCGCAGCAATCGCCGTGGAACGTATTCGTGTTGCGAGGCGAGAGGTGAGGAACTGACTGGTCATGTTGAAGACTGTGTCAAACACTCTGGTGAGAACGAGGACTAGGGCAAACACATAGCCGTGCCATATCGGCTCTGAAGGGTCCATGGTGAAGTTGATTAACAGCCTGAGGTAAAAATAAGTGAGTTTATTCAGTGTTTAACCCTATCTGTACGTCGTGTTTTACTTTCACAGTGAAGTTGCAGCCTGGGGTGAAAATAAGTGAGTTTATTCAGTGTTTAACCATATCCATACGTCGTGTTTTACTTCCACTGTGAAGGTGATTAAAGCCATCTGCTGGTGAACTTTCTAAAATCCATATCCCTTGGCTATATGTAGCAAAGATGATATATTCACATTAGTCAGACGTCAAAGAACAAATTCAAGTAATTATTTATTATTATAAGCACATGGTAACCATGGTAACCAAGCAAACGTCCGCTATATTGGATAATTTCATCAAATTTCAAAAGCTATCTTCTCTCTTAGTTTTCGTCCGTTGGCTTTCATTTTAGTAAGTACAAACTACAATACCTATGTAATGAACAAATAACGCCAAATTTGTAATATTATGATTAGGAAAAAAGCAAAAAAATCTCCAAATTCCCAACAAAGACACTGATTGTAATTTTCGTCTGAGATTATCTTCAAAAAGGGCTCTCTTTCAGTACAGGTCTCCTATGGATGGACATTGTGTAAAATAATGAAGATATTCAAAGGAAAAACAAAAGAGAAGATGTAATTTAGAGTCGGAAAAATAAATATTTGAAAAAATAATGAAGAAAATATTAAGAAACATATCCCAAAATTGCTAAATATTTTTTTTAAAAACCCATTTTAAAATGACTTTGAAACATATTTGATTGAATCTTCGGTCGAAACTTTGATGGAAATGGATGTAGGTTTCAAAAATGGAGGGGGGAAACTGTATGGCCAAACTGGGTAAAAATGGGGAAAATCTTACCCGCAGATGGCCTTAACAGCCTGGGGTGAAAGTAAGTAGGTTTTTTTAGTTTTAGTAAGTGTTTTACGGCACTTGCAACACAATAAGGTCATATAAGTGCCGAAGATTAGAGGTGTTACAAGAGAGTAACAAACACAAA